TTTTGCAATTGGGATTTTTATTTTTATATATATAAAAAAAATCTCAGCGATGTGATGCGATAATATCGCGCGATTTTTGTGATATCGCGCATTTATCGCGGATTTTTCAGTGTGATAAATCACGATATGCGATATTAATATATCGCGCGCCATACATCCGCATACCGCGTCGCGGAATTGCGCCAGACAGGGGGGGGAACATGGGCGTGGGCCCTGAACTTGGCAAAATTTAGGGTTCTCTGGTTGTAATGGCGTGCGGAAATTGGCCGCAGCTGTTTTGTTTGGGTTTGGCGTGATTGGCGGGGAGGTGTTTGTGAGGAGCTTGGAGAGGAAGGGTTGGAAATTCTAGCTGAAAAGGAGTGCAGTGCGGTTGAGGGAGGGGAGTTGGTTGGAGGTTCAAATTTTGACATGGGCGATGGTGGATGGAATGTGGTGGTGTGCGGTTAACGGGATTTAGGGGGTTGATTGAAATCTCGACCCCCACTAAGTCCATTGGTTGGAACTCCAACCAATTTCCACCACTTCAACGGCACTACATTTCTCCGCATCTACGGAATCCAACCCCTGCCCCTCTAACACGCTCTACATCAGAGAGGTGCCACTATATCCCATTCTCCCGTCAAACTTCACTCGCCTAATTCCTCGCGCACCTAGGAAAGCCGGCCTTGTCATTCTGATTTTCTCCTCCGACCCCTAAATGCGATGCGATATTAAATCGCATCGCGCGATATATCGCATTCATGGGTGCGATATTTTTTACCATCGCACCCTAGAAAGTGATATGCGATTTCAAAATTTGAAACAGAATATCGCAGCGATGCGATATCGCATCGCTGCGATATCACGCGCGATATAACAAAATGCAATGCGATATCGCATCGCATCGCATTTTAACCATGTCTACCTGGTGGTGAGAGGGTGTGAGAGGTAGACGTGATTCTACTGCTCAACATCCTCCCTCCCTCCACTGCTTTCCCTCACCTTCCTTCCCCCCACTTCTCCCCGCACCCCTCTCCATCACAGGTGGAGTCTGAGATCTTCTGCTTGCACGGGGGTCCATCCCCCACATCTATTGACTCGCTCGACCACATGCGGCAGCTCGACCGCATGCGGCAGCTCGACCGCATGCGGCAGCTCGACCGCATGCGGCAGCTCGACCGCATGCGGCAGCTCGACGACATCCGGCGGCTCGACCACATGCGGCAGCTCGACCGCATTCAGGCGATGTCTAACGACGAGGGGCCCATGTGCGACCCGCCTCTACTGTTTCCCACCTCCCTCTCTTTTTTCCTCCTCTGCTCCCTCTCCTTCCAATGCAGGTGGAGTCCGAGATCTTCTGCTTGCACGGGGGGCTATCCCCATCCATTGACTCGCTCGACCACGTGCGCCAGCTTGACCGCATCCAGGAGGTGCCCCACGAGGGGCCCATGTGCGACCTGCTCTGGTCAGACCCCGACGACCGCTGCGGCTGGGGCATTTCCCCCCGTGGTGCTGGCTATACCTTCGGCCAGGTAGGAATATTGCGCAGGGAACCTTTGGCCAGGTAGGAATATTGCGCAGGGAACCTTCGGCCAGGTAGGAATGTTGCGCAGGGAACCTTTGGCCAGGGTTGTATCAAAGGTGCCTCACAGGGTGCCCCTCGAGGGGCCCATGTGCGACCTGCTCTGGTCGGACCCCGACGACCGCTGCGGCTGGGGGATTTCGCCTTGCTGTTCTGGCTATACCTTTGGGCAGGCGCGGATGGTGTGTGTATAGGATGACATGCAATGGCATAACGCCATGTGCGACCTGCTCTGGTCGGACCTCGACGACCGCTGTGGCTGGGGGATTTCGCCACGTGGCGCTGGCTACACATTCGGGCAGGTAGGGACAGTGGTGGTGCTGGATAGGGTGCCAGCTAGGGATGGTATCTAAGGTTTTCACAAGGTGCCCCACGAGGGGCCCACGTGCCACCTGCTCTGGTTGGTTCTGACGACCGCTGCGGCTGGTTCGTCTCTCCCCGCAGTGCTGGGTACACCTTCGGGCAGGTATGGATAGCTGTTTGAATACTGCTGCTGCTTAGAGGGGCCTCATGACTTGCTCCCCACCATCCCCCCCCCCATCCCCCCTCCACCCCCCCTCCCATCCCCCTCCAACCTCCCCTCCATTCCCCCCCATCCCCCTCTTCCAGGGCATATCAGAGCAGTTCACCAGCAACAGCAGGCTGAAGCTGGTGGTACAAGGTGGCTAGTGATTCGACCCATATGTGCATCTGTCATGTATTCCCAAACCCACCAACCCCCCCACCCCCCCGGTTCCCCCACATCCCCCCCCCATCCCCCTCGTCCAGGACATATCAGAGCAGTTCAACCACAACAATGGGCTGAAGCTGGTGGCACGGGCGCATCAACTAGTTATGGAGGGATACAACTGGGCGCATGTGAGTATTTTTCCATTTTGCCGCTCGGAACGTTTCATCCTTCTGATATATTCACACAAGGTCACATTTTGCCTCACGTGTACCCTACATCACATGCACCTTACCTCACATGCAACCCACCTCACATGCACTCTACCTCACATGCACCCTACCTCACGTGCACTTGACCTCGCAGGCACCTTGTCTCACATGTATGCACCCGACCTCAGATGCACCCTGGCTCACACACATACACCCTACTACCATGCATTCTCCCTGCCTCACGCATGTGCCCCCCACCAGGCGCAAAAGGTTGTCACCATTTTCAGCGCACCCAACCCACCTCACATCCACTCTGCCTCACTTGTATCCCCCCTGCCTCACGTCCTCCCTGCCTCACGTCCTCCCTGCCTCACGTCCTCCCTGCCTCACGTCCTCCCTGCCTCACGTCCTCCCTGCCCCACGCCCTCCCTGCCTCACGTCCTCCCTGCCTCACGTCCTCCCTGCTCCACGCCCTCCCTGCCCCACGTCCTCCCTGCCTCACGTCCTCCCTGCCCCACGCCCTCCCTGCCTCACGTCCTCCCTACACCACGACCTCCCTGGCTTACGTCCTCCCTGCCTCACGTCCTCCCTGCCCCACGCCCTCTCTGCCTCACGTCGTCCCTACACCACATCCTCCCTGCCTCATGTATCTACCCCCCACCAGGAGCAAAAGGTGGTGACCATTTTCAGCGCACCCAACTACTGCTACCGCTGCGGCAACATGGCGGCTATTCTGGAGGTGGATGACGCCATGGGCCACACCTTCATTCAGGTACGACCTACCCCGCATGCACCCTGGATGGATGGCGCACCCTCATCCCGGGTGCAACCTACTCTACATGCACCCTACCCCACATGCCACCTGCATGGATGGCACGCCTTCATCCAGGCATGACCTATACCCCACATACCGCCCCCTGGATGCCAATTGTTACGAAACGCCGCAGAATACCATCAAAATGCCAACCGGTTTTTCCTTCGAGTAAACCTTCTCATCGCTTCTCACACGTGCTTATGATCCAGTTCGTCATGCTCAAGGTGTACTCTTTATAATTCAGCAATCGAGCTTTAAAACATGGCTGCCATATTATGAGACCTAGTTATGTCTGCACCGCACCTACTTTTTATTTTTATTTACGCATTACTTTTAAGCCGGCACCCAGCAATGGAGAGCCGGACATCTTAAAAAAAAAACTAACACACCCAGCAGAGGAGAGCCGGGCATTTGTAAGAAAAAAGCACCCGACTACTCCCACAGTGTTCTTCACTTCACCCCCTTTGCGCCTTTTGCCCTTACCCTGCTTTCTCCTTCTGCCCCTCGCTTCCCTTGCTCCTTCGTCCGTCCCCCCCCTTGTTCCTTCTTCCCTTACCCCCCTTGCACCTGCCGACTACTTCTCCTGCAGTTTGAGCCGGCTCCCAGAAGAGGCGAGCCAGACATCAGCAGGAGAACACCCGACTACTTCCTTTGAGGCTGCCCGGACTAATTTCTTTGAGGCGTTTCAATGATTTTAGTAACCATGGAGTATGGATGTCATAGAAGCCGCTCTTGCATGTTCTTTCCTTCTAGCCAGGTGGCTCGATTTACTACAGTAGACATACTGCACTTGATTCTAGATATCTACCAAGCAGTTCATATGGCCGTAGTGGCTTAGAGCGTGTTCCTACGAGCCTCTTCCCAGGCAACCTCTTCCTAGACTCATGCGCGACCTTGAGAGCATGTTTCCAGGACCACTTTTTGGAATACTCCCGTTTCATATTTGCCTTCCGTCGCTCTCAACCACATAAAACCAGCTGGCGACGAAATTTTACTTAGCAGATTCGCGCTTGTCTGAAAACCTGCTCGTCTGAAAAGAGGTTTTAAAACATGTAATTTTTAGAAAGTGTGTAACACTTTCTAAAAATGTGTATTGTGAGAGTGTAGCGAGGGCCAACGCAGCAAAGGTAGCGACGAAGCGCTACTCACCCTCTTTTGCCTACAAAACAGGGACGTGAGGCCATTCGGCCTCACCCACGTTCTTCATTTCTAGTTTCTCTAGTTCAATTTCCCCAGTTTCTCGTCCAACCTGGCGAAGACCCAGTCCCTCCCCCGAGGCAAGGCTCCGACGACGCTCCTCACCGACATTTTGCAGCACAACCTCGCTAACATGGCGTCGGCGAACACGACTCTGAATCGTCCGACGAACAACCCCAACAATTATGTGGAGCCCGGAACTTCGGCCGGGGCAACCGCCCGTCGCCAGAAACGTCCTGCTGAGGAAATTTTTGGCGAGGGGCCCTCGGCTGTGGAGGTCCTGCTTGGCGCCAATCGCGCTGCTCCAGAAGAAACTCGCGCGGCTGCTTCGCAGCCGCGCGAGCTGCCAACGGAGGACCACGCGCCTGCGCACGTCGCGACGGCTGCAGGCCACGCGGGCCCCACCGAGCACACGCCCTTTGACGAGGACGTGCCAGCCGCCGCCGCCGCCCCCGCGTTGACCGCACAACAACTCCAGGCGCTTTTGGCGCTGTTACACCAGCAACCGAATGTTACGCGCGGAACATCTTCGGACAATATAACTGCTACGACCAATTTCGCCAAGAAGAAAGAAATGCCGCCACCTACTCGCGCGCCGAAAGCTCCGCGCGTCGACAACCAGCCCCCGGCACCGACTCCCGCACTCGCCAATGACACCGACGACAGCGACGACTCTGAAAACGATGATGGTGAGGCTCCTGCCAATATTGCTCGCCATCGCATTCTCGCCCCCGCCCCCCCTCTTCCCCCCCTTGGTCCTACGCCCGCAGCAACTACGTTCATGCGTAAGGGCGTGCGCGACCAGGCCGAAGTCTTCACTGCTATCCAAGCGCACCTGCAGCACATCGACTTCGAGCTGCAGCACGGCAACGTCACCGGCGCACTCAACAACGTGAAACACATCGAGACGCTTATTAATAAGCGTTTCGAGGTGCTTCTCGTGGCGGATGAGGCCGGCTTTGAGGCCGCTGATCGCTTCCAGCTCTACCAGTCCAAGAGTGTGCTGACGTCCCGTTCCTATAAGCTGGCGGTCGCCGACGTGGCTGCACTCAAGCGCGCACGCGCCATCTACCCCCGTGGTGGTCGTCCCGGCGGTCGTGACGGAGAAATGGACCTCAAAGGCTCCCCCCAGCAGCCACGCTTCAAGGGCGTGTGCTTCCGCTGTGGCCAGCCAGGTCACGTGGCTAACGCGTGCCCCATGGGCGGGCGTGGTGCACAAGGCCCCTCACCGGTGGTGTGAGCGGGGGTAAGGGCGGTGCCCTTCGCCAATATGCAAGAAGCATATTGGGCTGCACCGGGGGTGCATGGCTGGTGGCCGGCCTTAGGACAAGGCAAATGGCCTAGTAGACTAGGGTAGCCCTAGGGGCAGAGAAGGCCGTGGGCCTAGGACCTTGCGTTATTCCATGTATGGATCATGCATACCGTTATGGCGCGTTGAAACGAAGATTGCAAAAAAAAAAAAAAAAAAACTTTTGCAAGGCCTCGATGAAAGAGAGAAAGAGAGAGGGCAAGAGAAACAGAGAGAGAGCGAGAGAGAGAGAGAGAGAGAGAGAGAGAGAGAGAGAGAGAGAGAGAGAGAGAGAGAGAGAGAGAGAGAGAGAGAGGGAGGGAGAGAGAGAGAGAGAGAGAGAGAGAGAGAGAGAGAGAGAGAGAGAGAGAGAGAGAGAGAGAGAGAGAGAGAGAGAGAAACAGAGGTCAAGAAAGAGGTAGAAAGAGCGGTATACATATATATATAGAGAGAGAGAGAATGGATGAGAGAGGGAGAGAGAGCATAAGAGAAAGCAAAGGGAAAGAGCACAAGAGAAAGAGAGAGAGAAAAAAAGAGATAGAAAGAGCGAAAGAAAGAAAGTGAGAGAGAGAGAGAGAGAGAGAGAGAGAGAGAGAGAGAGAGAGAGAGAGAGAGAGGAGAGAGAGAGAGAGAGAGAGAGAGAGAGAGAGAGAGAGAGAGAGAAAGAGAGAGAGAGAGAGAGAGAGAGAGAGAGAGAGAGAGAGAGAGAGAGAAAGAGAGAGAGAGAGAGAGAGAGAGAGAGAGAGAGAGAGAGAGAGAGAGAGAGAGAGAGAGAGAGAGAGAGAGAGAGAGAGAGAGAGAGAGAGAGAGAGAGAGAGAGAGAGAGAAGAGAGAGAAAGAGCGAGAGAGAAAGAGTGAGAGAGAGAGAAAGAGAGAGAGAGAGCAAGAGAGAGAGAGAGAGAGAGAGAGAGAGAGAGAGAGAGAGAGAGAGAGAGAGAGAGAGAGAGAGAGAGAGAGAGAGAGAGAGAGAGAGGTGACGAAGGCTCGAGCGCTAAAGGGAGAAGGCATGAATATCAGCCATGCCCCTTTTGCAATTGAACATGAGCCACTCTTGCTTTGCCAACTGAATGGGAGCTATGCCCCCCCTGGAATCGACTATGACACATCCACCCTTAGGCAATTGTCTGGTCTCACTCACTTGGGTACCTATGTGATTCTTGCCACCCGACCCTTTGGTCCAGCAGAAATTGGGAAAGGATGGTTACACAACGAACATGACCCGTACGAGTACGCGGTTACAGACAAGGACGTAACTGTCATGCATAGTCGATTGCGTCACGCCCTACACTGGTGGTGCTCATGGTGCGATAGCAGTTTCATCCTGTCCATCATCGCGAAAGGATATTGGCTTCCCTGGAAGGAAGCCGTGCCACATGCCTTTGAGGATAGCAATCATGTTGGAGTTCACACACACCCGGACTTCACTCGTGGAGCCATTCGCGACCTCGTCACCTCGGGTGCCGCCATCAAGGTCCCTACGAAGGATGCGCTCATGTGTGTCAGTCCACTTAACGTGGTGGAGCAGCGTGACAAGTGTCGCCTCATTCTTGACTTGCGCAAAGTCAACAACTACCTCGACATCCCCAAGTTCAAGTACGAAGGCTTGAACAGGGTAGCCGAACTCATCCGCCCAGGCGATTGGATGTTCTCCATCGACCTAAAGTCAGGCTACCACCATGTCGAGATCCACCCCTCCTGCTGGAAGTTCTTGGGATTCCAGTTCGAAGGAGACTACTATTCCTTCATATCGCTCCCGTTCGGGCTTGCCACTGCCCCCGTTCGTCTTCACACAACTGATCAAACAACTGGCAAAGCGATGGCGGGCAAGCGGCGTGCGGGTTGTTCCATATGTCGACGACTTACTATTCCTCTGCAACTCCCACTCGGATGCACGCTCCATCTGCGCAGCTGTTGTTAAGGACCTGAAGGCAGCACGTTTTGTTATAAACGGCAAAAAGTCACATCTACACCCCTCGCGCAAGATAGCTTTCCTCGGCCTGGAAATTGATGCCGCCCAAGGCACCTTCTCCGTCGGACTCGAACGTCGAGCACAACTTTTTGCTTCACTCCAAGCCCTCATCACCCAGGGACAAGAGGGACGACCGGTTCCCATCCGGTCCCTTGCGAGAATCACAGGAATGCTGGCCTCCATGAATCAGGCATTGGGTGCTACGGCACGTGCCTTTAGTCACGAGCTCCTTTGACTTATTGCAGACGCCACCTCTTGGCACGCCAAGGCACACTTGTCGTCGACAGCAGTGCACGAGCTGCATTTTTGGCTTGCGCAGTTCGACAAGTTCAACGGAAACCCATTCCATCTCAGTCACCAGTTTGATGCCGTCATCCACGTCGATGCAAGCGCACACAGCTGGGGTGCCACCCTGACACAACTTCCTGGGACGCCCATTGAAGCCAGTGCTCGCATGCCCGAGGAACTACTGCCCACCTCCAGCACTCGACGGGAACTCGAAGGAGTTTTATGGGCTCTCCGAACTTTCGCTGCCCGCATACCCAAGCGCCACGTACTCGTTCGGGTAGACAATCAAGGCGTGGTATTCATCCTACGCAAAGGTGGATCGCGCCACCCCACGCTTACGCTACTGTGTTAAGCAATCATTCGCCTCTGCCTGGAACACCAAACAAGGCTAGCTGTCGAATGGATCCCACGAGAGCTGAATGCGCACGCCGACGAACTTTCAAAAATCCAAGACCACGATGACTACTCCCTCAAAGCCCCGTGGTTCCGGCACTTGGATCGCCGCCTGGGTCCCCACTCTATCAATCTCTTCGCAAATGTGCACAACGCTCAGCTGGAGAGGTTTTGTTCCAAGATTCCACACCCTACGGCCGCAGTGTTTGACGCATTTTTGTTCAGCTGGCAGCACGAGCGCGGCTTTGCGTTTCCCCCTCCCAACCTCATTCCAGCCACCTTACGACACGCTAAACGCACACACGCTGAGGTGACCTTGGTCATTCCCGAGTGGCCGGGAGCCTCATGGTGGCCACTCCTCCAACAGGCATCTGACGCTTGGGTGCCAGAAGTAACGGCACACATTCCCCTCACCCACGGCAACCAATGCCTACGCCCCGGCACACACGCACTCGCTTTCACAGGACAAGGCTTTCCTCCTAGTAAGATGATTGCACTGCATGTCACGTATAAAAATTAATAATAATTGTACTCTACGCTGTACCCTTTCAGGCATTATAACGAAGCTGCAAACACAACTACTACACGTAATCACCCATGTCCGTGCCCCTTCCACCATCCGAACGTATGAGCCCTACTGGCTCAAATTTCGCTCCTTCTGCATGAAGGTGAAGTTGAGCTACTTGCCTGCAACGGATATGACCTTGGCACTCTACCTCATTCATGCACTACGTCACCAGGCCACCACATCTGCCATATCGCTTACATGCTCCGCCGTCGCCTTCGCGCATCGCATGACTGGCGAGCCCTCTCCCTCGACTGGACCATTTACACTACAAGTGCGCGAATTTGCCAAACGCCATGGCCCGCGCCCCACCCGGAACAAGGAACCTTTGTCGCTGCACCAAGTGCACACCATGGCCCCCCCTTTCTGGAGTCCACCCGGCCGGCCGAATACCAGAAAGGACTCATCCCCATCCTTATGTTCGCCGCCTTCCTACACTACTCCGACCTTGTCAGTCCCCAATGGCATGACATACAGTTTGAGCCGGAGGCGATGTGGTTGCTCATCCCGCACTCCAAGACCGACCAGGAAAGCAGGGGCACGTGGATTCCAGTCACCGCCACTTCTGGCCCATACTGCCCGGTACGCTGCACACGACACTTTCTTCTCACCCACGTTCTTCTCACCCACGTTCTTCATTTCTAGTTTCTCTAGTTCAATTTCCCCGCCCACCCACCCTCTTGTGTGTAGTTCTTTGTTGGACGAGAACCATGTATGTTTCCCAGATGAAATGAAGCACGCTGCCTTTACAAGAGGACCTAAGCAAACTTTCACAATACGCCCCTGAATCTCGGGAGGCCGAATCTCACTTCACGGAATCGCACTGAAACATTTCGCGTCAAAATTTGCGACACAGTAACACGCGAGTCTGGGAAGAGGTTGCTTGGGAAGAGGCTGGTAGGAACACACTCTTATACTTCCTACAAGTGCTCTATGTATGAGACATGGCTGTCCCAGCCACACCAGATCACACATGTAGTGTTTGGAGGCAAATCATTACAAGGAAATGGTTTCACTGCCTACACTTTGCTTTCAGGGTGCTAATTTGCTAAAGCATTGTTAGTTACACTGCTAGGATACACTAAATCCTTGCACTGAACCGAAGCATTACTGTACCCCCCTAAGCCAAAACCTTTTTGCCTTACCGTATCATTGCTGCACGCAATTGGATTGGATCACATACCGGTACCTCTTAGAAACATAGCCGCTAACCATTATGCTAAAAGGGCTTGATACCGTATTTACCCGGCTAAAATACCCCTAGGGTTTTATCCTGCCCTGTTTTTTTTAGGGGGTGTGTCTTTAATCGGAGGCAATTACATAAGACCCGGGGTCTATGTTATACACGTGAAATTACAACAACCCAGGTAGAAGAATGTTACAGCAGCCCGCTGAATCCGCCACCGAGGCCTGGAGGTGCAGCTAGGGTGACGCGAGACATGCTTCCTCAGATCGCGCTTGGAAAACATCGCTTCTCGGGGCGCTCCAAATGGGGCCACCTAATTGGCCGACGCAAAAATGGCGCGAATTGTGCTGATGCAGACAATCAGGTCAACCCCAAGGAAAGGGGTCTTATCCCGTAAGCGCCAAAAAGGGGGGTCCTCAATTTCTGGTTGCACAGGATAAGACCCACCCTGTTATAAAGACCCATGGGGCTTCAATTACAGGGAGTCTTTTAGCCAGGTAAATACGGTAAATAGCGGGTCAGCGCGCCCATAGCAGGCATGCCGTTATCAAGGCATTTTATCTTGATTCCCTGATTTCACAATGTATTTTTCGCCAACCCTTAATTTTCAAAATTGGGTGTTTTTTAACCCTAGCCCCTTCAGGGTTGTATGTTTCTGAACACTTGGAATTTCAGGGTTTGCGTTATGACAAAAATGAGTTTCCAGGGAGTAACACGTACGAATCCTGATTGCAGCATCCTGCGACCCATGAGTTTCGGCGAAATGCCCTCTCTATTCGTGAGTGGTCCCAGGCCCATGAATACGACCAGCATGCATCACGTGGAGCACTTGGCAACTCTCCCGCCCTGTACACGCTGTATCTTGCCATTTCAACAACATTTCCAACCGTTAGGTGTAAGACGGTGCACTCTGTAATGCCCCAGCCTGGCAGTCGTGACTCAACAGGCAGCAGACGAGGACAGATTTTGATATTTTGATGATGGCGCACCCATGAAAATGCTGAGCGCTGCATCGTCAGCCTCTGTATGACATCATAGAGCCAATCAGCTCTCTGCATACGATGCAAGTGCAGGAGCGTCCCGCCATTGACGGTATCGCCATGGCGACGCGAGGTCCTGGATGTGTTGCGCGCCGTCCATGAAAAGCGGAAACTTGGGTTTCTTGGTCCCCTTCCCATCTTCTTCACCTGCCTCTCCTCCAACCCCATCTCCTCCTTCTATTCACAGCGTAGATGTGAGCTGCTCCATTATTGTTTCTCGTCCAGTTTCGTCGCGCCTAGTTCTCGTTTCGATCGTCTCCGCCGCTACTAGCCATGGCGGGTGTAGGAGAGTCTCGTGAGTCTCTTACCGACGATGATGGTTCGGGAACAGCTAGGGACCCCCTCGCAGAGGTCCGTCGCATCAGCTGCGACGAGAGCACCAAACGTACTCGCGGTAAACATCTCATTAGGTCGAGGTCGATAGTGAGCTCAGTGGGATGCAGCGCGAGGAGAGCGTCGCGCGCAGGGGCGAGGCGGTCAAAGAGGCGGTCAGGGAGGCGGGTGGTGAGGAGGTAAAGGGTGATGTAGAGTAGGTGGGCGGGGTGTGCTCGGCGAGCTGGGCCTCGGTGCATGCCGCACGAAAGCGGGCCTCGAGGGAGCGCACGTGCGCGTCGAGATCCGCCACAGGGGAGAAGAAGGCCAAGTCAGGGATGAGGAACGGGAGGAGGAGGTGGCAGAGGGTGGTGGAGGACAGGGTCGAGTAGCGGGCGGCAAGTGCATTTCAGAGTTCCTGAGCCGAATCAAAGTGGGAGTGCTCGTCAACCGGCAGACTCCGAGTGATGACAACCTGCACGCCGGTATTGTGAGACTCCCAGATAGAGTGGGCGGTCCAAGCTGCTACCTCACACTGCGCGGACGTTGCCTCGGGGCCAAGGGGATCAAGATAGGGGGGGGGGGGGGGGGGGCAGCTCACCAGTGACATGGGCCGCCAGTGAATTGCCCTCCACACGCTGACTCAGCAGTTGGCAGCGGAGAGAGGAAAGCCAGGCCGAGAAGCCCACCATGCGCCTTCAGCATCCAGCCAAAGGACATACATCGACGCTGAAGGGGTCATCATAATGGCAGAAGAATTAGGTGCCAGATGTACCCAAACAGGGGCTGAAGCTGGCAACAGCAGCTGACGGTGACAGACCTGACAGCAGCGGCAGCAGTAGAGCCGGCGATAGGGCCAGCAACAGGACCGGCGGCAGGTCCGGTGGCAGGTCCGGCGGCAGATGACAGGTGGCAAGCTGCAGCGATGGTGACAATGGCGCTAGTGGCCGCAGCTGCCGCTGCAGTGCAGTGCCGGGAGCTGCGGCTGCAGGGCGGGAAGCTAGGGCCGCGGGCGCAGCGGCGGCAGTGGCTGCTCTGGTGGCTGTGGGCAGCGCACCTGGCAGCTACTGCTCGCTGGCGGCGTGCAAGCTAGCAGGGAGGCTAGCAGGCTGGCGGTGTGCAAGCGGGCAGACAGCAGGCGGTAGGCCACGGGCGGCGAGCTGGCTGGCGGCGAGCGTGCGGGCAGGCAGCGGGTGGCGAGCTGGCTGGCGGCGGGTGAGGGGGCAGGCAGCGGGCAGCGAGCTGGCGGGTGGCGAGCGAGCAGGCATGTGGCGGGCAGCGACGAGCGGCTATGGCGGCTGCAGGAAGCGAGCGACAGGCGGCGGCTACAGGCAGCATGCAGCAGCGGCGCGAAGCGGGCGACGAGCAGCGGGCGGGACGCAGCGGGCGACGAGCAGCGGGCGGCACGCAGCGGGCAACGAGCGGCGGGTGGCGCGTAGCAGGCGGCATGCAGCGGGCGGTGCACAGCGGGCTGCGAGCAGTGGGCAGTGCGAGCACGAGCAGCGGGCAGCGCAGGCTAGGGCTACAGCGCAGGCTAGGGCTATGGCGCAGGCTAGGGCGGTAGACTAGGGCGCAGGCCAGGGCGGTAGACTAGGGTGTAGGCTAGGGCGGAAGGCTAGGGCAGAAGCGTGGAGGCTACGACCTAACCTAGTAATGATACCATGTCAAGATAGGAGAATAAATGAATAGGCACATGCAGAAAAGGGTTCCTATAGTAGTGTTGCACCCTCTATAGTCTACACCTAGTTAGCCTACAGTACATACATATATGTATGCTAGAAAACCATGTTTCCGCAAACCAAACCCATTCTCCAATGTCCATTCACCCAAAGCACTTTATGCTCTTCCTCAGACGAGCTTCTTCTTCCACCCTCCCCCCCCCCCCCTCAAACCACCCACCACTGCCCTTGCTAGCCACTCAACTCAACGCCATCCTTAGACCATAGAGAAAGCCTAACTTATGACAAAACTTGGCACCTGGTGTGCTTGTAGCAACTTTCTTGGGCATCACCAAATCAAAGACTGCTCCTGATCACAACATGTCCTTGTTTCTTATTGGGTTTCATTGCATGTTTGATTTCCAATCCACCCACCCACCCACCCACCCATCCATCCAGCGGTCGCAGCTGCCTGCCGCAGCCGCTGGTCGCTGCCTGTTGGCTGCCCGCAGCGACCAGCCGCAGCAGCTGCTCACCGCCTGTTGCCTGCCCGCAGCCACCAGCCGCGGCCGCCAGCCGCAGCTGCAGCTAGCACTGTCTATCGCCTCTAGGTCCCGATTCTCCTCCTCCTCGTG